GTATGAGGACCGCAAATAAGGCCCACCCAGAGGCACCTGACCAAACGGGAATCTATGACAGGAGAGCAGAGTGGCTGGGTGAAACGGTGACGGGTCCTTCATGGGTGGACCTCACTGGTGGCCTCCCAGAGATGGCACCCAGTTGAGCCCGGGTGGCACAGACAGCATGTGTAATAGCAGGAGTACAGCAGAGAGGACTGAATTTGAGCAGTCGTGACTCACCCTCATACAGGCCAGTCACCCTGAGTTCAAGGCCAGCCTGGGTTTCAGAGAGATCCAGTCTCAAACAAACTAAAAGCTGTAAGAGTTGCAAAGCACAGCTTCTCGCTGACTTCCTGTACTTCCTGAGGCTGTAGAGAAAGCCTCCCAGTCTGCTGGGGCTGCGGCAGAGGGATGTTTGAGACTGGGAGAGCTCCCAGCTGCAGACCCCCCCCACACACACCACTCCTGATTTCAAGGGCTGAACTTTCCATAGAGGCTACTTTGCGGGCCAGAGAGATACATTGTTCAGCAGATAAAAGCCAGACAGCCCAAGTTCAATGCCCAGAAGCCACATAAAAAGCCCAATGCTGGGGCACAAATCTGTAGTCGCAGCACGCCTATAGTGAGATCAGACAGTCCTCTGAGAGACCCTGCTTCAAAGGAGGACAGCATGCACAGTCCTGCACTCCTACAAGACAGATGAGGCCACCTGGGCCACATCCTTCTTAGTGGCACAGTGACTTCTTCCCTGGGCCTCAGTTTACTAAAATGGGAAATGATTCCTGAGATACTAAAAATAACCTCCAGGTTGTGCCACCATGTGTTGGAATCCCCACTCTGCTTGTGGTGGCCATGCCCTGGCTTAGGAGCTGTAGGCTTTGTTTTTTCCAGACAGGAGGCCTGAGGTAAAGCCTGCCACTTCTTGGAAGTGGTGGTGCTGCGGAGTCAAGCTTTCCCCTCTCCTCCCTGTGTTTCCAGATGCGAAGCTCTTAGCCGCAGCATCCCCCGCCCCCCACCGCCACTGTGAAGCCTTACTGGTTGCTTGGGAAGACTTATTACTCGCAGACAGGCCACATTATTAAATAACCACCACACTGCTCCTTCTCGACTTGTACAAACCAAAGAATACAGGCACCACACCCAGGGTGAACAGTGATGAGGCCCGGCAGCTGCAGCAAAGGCCAAGAAAACGCTGTGGGAGACTCATGTCCAGGTCAGGCCCCAAGGTCTATGCCTGGCCTGAGACAGGAGGAGCCAAAGAGGTGCCAGGCGGGTCCCCTCACTTCCCGGAGAGTGGAGGGGCAGCTCATGGAGCAAACTGAAGCCACTTTTTTTTTAATTTTATGAGCATTGATCGGTGTTTTGCCTGCATGTATGTCTGTATAAGGATGTCAGATCCTTTGGAATTGGAGTTACAGTTGGGAGCCGCCATTCGGGTGCTGGGAATTGAACCCTGGTCCTCTGGAAGAACAGTGGATGTTAACCCCTGAGCCATCTCTCCAGCCCTCAACTGAAGCCACTTCTAAGTGTCATTCTCAGTGTGACCAGCAGGTGGAGCCATGAGGACAGAAGGCCTGCTGCTCAGGGCCTAGGGACTGAGTCCTGTGACAGTGTCGTGTTGTTAACGCTTTATTACAATTTAGCTTGTGTAGCAACCTAGGAAGCCCTGAGCCACCACTATCTGAAGTGCAGTGCAGTTGGGAGCTGGCCTTGGAGGGAAGTACTCGCCTTTGCTAGGATCTCTCTCTGACCTCACCAGGTTCCCTCTCAGCAAGCTGGCCCTGCACCCCAGTATGACTCCTGATGTTCCTGATGTGTGTGTACTCTCCTCTCAATACAACCATAACCGCAAGCTGCTAATGACTTGGTGGCGTCCTTCTTCACAGCCTCCTCTCCATCCACCAGGTGCCTAGAAAGTTCTAACTTTTGCTCTATGGGACCTTTAGTCATTTCCTCCATAGGTTCTGGGGCGTTGTGTGGAATTACTCCGTGTTGTGTTTAACCTTGGTTTTCAGTGCTGGGGATGGAACCCATGGTCATGAGCATGGAAAACAAGCACCTCCCTCTGAGCCATGTCCCAGAACTTAGCGGTTTGTTAATTTTTTAAATTATGTATTTATTGTGGTTTTTGTTGTTGTCATTTTCTTTTGAGACAGGGTTTCACTGTCCTTGAACTCACTCTGTAGATCAGGCTGGCCTCAAACTTATGAAGATCTGCCCGCCTCTCTCCTCCCCGAGTGCTGGGATTAAAGACATGTGCCACCGCTGCCTGACTACATCTTATTTTCTTTCATTTGATTTGGCTTGGCTTGAGAGAGGGCCTCATGTAGCTTAGGCTAGCCTGGAACTTGCTGTGCAACTGAAGATGACCTTGAACTCCTGATGCGCCTGCCTCCACCTTGAGTGCTGGGATTACAAATCTGCACCACCACATCCAGCTTCGGATGGTGCTGGAGATGAGGGCTGGGAGCACACTAAGCCACGCCTCCCCCCTGCCTTTGACTTTCTAGAGGCAGGGTCTTGCTGTGTAAGGTTAGGCTCCAACTCCAAGCAATCCTGCCTCGGCCTTTCAAGAGCAGAAATGAGAGGTGTTTGTCACGAGTCCAGCTTTTATGTGTGTGTCAGTTAGTGCTAGGGAGAAAAGAAATAAGAGGGCTGGCGAGGGGGTTCAGCAGATAAAAGTGCTTGTCGCTAAGCCTGAAGCCTAAGTTCAATTCCCGGAACCAACCAATGCTTGGTTGCAAGAAAACTTGCTCCTGAGCGGGGTGTTGGTGGTGCACGCCTTTAGTCCCAGCACTCGGGAGGCAGAGGCAAGTGGATCTCTGGGTTCGAGGCCAGCCTGGTCTACAGAGGGAATTCCAGGACAGCCTCCAAAACAATACAGAGAAACCCTGTCTCAAAAAAACCAAAAAAAAGGAAAAAAAAAAAAAGAAAAATTAAACTGGCTCCTGGAAGTTGTCTTCTGACCTCCGTGTGAGCACCACAGCAGGTGCCCACATGTGTGCGTATACACACACACACACACACACACAGTGAGTGTAAAAGATTTGTAAAGAAATGACTAGAGAAGCTTTTAGATAATGAAGTCAGAAGGCATGGAGGTTGGAAGGGGTTAAGTGGGAAGAGGGCTTCAGCAGAGTGGGGGAGTGAATGACTGGTTCGGGGGTGAATGGGCTGCAGCACATTGTTCACATGTATGAGATGGCAACGGATCCCCCGCCCCCCCAACAGGTGCCTGGGATTTTTCTCCCCATACATCCACGCCCCGTGTTTTACCTGTTCACGGCGCAACTTGTAACTCCGTGTTTGAGATGCTTCCTGTTACACATGCTGATGTGATTATGCGATTGTATTCCCACTGGACCGTAAGCACAGAAGGGCCGAGGCTGTGTTCTTTTTGCTCCATCAGACACTGAGCAGCCTCTGGCTCACCGAGGGCTCAAGGGAAAGGATGATGAATTAGAAACACATGAGAGGCCTGAGAAACGGGTGAGGCGTTGGACCTCAGAGTAAGAACTTAAGACAACAGGAACTCACCGAGCGTTGGTGGCGCACGCCTTTAATCCCAGCACTTGGGAGGCAGAGGCAGGCGGATTTCTGTGAATTCGAGGCCAGCCTGGTCTCCAGAGTGAGTTCCAGGACAGCCTCCAAAGCAATACAGAGAAACCCTGTCTCGAAAAACCAAAAAAAAAAAGACAACAGGAACTCTTGCCTGCCACTCCACTGGATCGCTTCCTGAATCCTTACCCCAGTGCAGCCACGCCCCCAAGAAGCCCTCGGTGGGGGCACCTATGCCCTCACCAAGCCCTGCCCCCTTGAACACCCGACTGCCTTCCCCGCTGAACAGTGAGCCCCAGGAAAGTAGAAACGGCTATGTCTGTCGCTGGCATGCCCCAGGGACTAGCCAAGATGGATGAGAGGGTAGACATAGGTGTATTCTGGCAGGCTGCTGCCAGGGAAACTGAAAGGGATCAGGATGAGGTGGAGTGTAAATATGACCTTTGTCCCATTTTCTAGGGTGCTGGGGTTGACACCTGAGGCTCACACTTGGGAAATGCAGGTTCCACCCCTGAGCAGGATAGCCCCTGCCTCCGCCCTGGAACTGAAGATTGAATATCAAGCCCAGGGTCCCAACTAGGCAAGCGATGACCGCTGAACCACATTTTATTAGGCCCCAGCTGGCCTTACATGCTCCATTGCTGGGGATAGACCTGGACCTCCTAACCAGCCTCCTTCCTCTACTTGGCAAAGCAGAGACGACAGGTGTGTGCCACCACTCTCTGCCCCTTTGTTGTTGGACAGCGCCTTCCTGTGCAGTCTAGATTAGCCTGGCTCTCTCCAGCACTGAGACTAGAGCTGTAAGCCTCTGTGCCCAGCCGACCTGTTTGTTTTGTTTTATTCAAGAGAAGACGGGTTTCTCTGTGTAACAGCCCTGGCTGTCCTGGAACTCACTCTGTAGTCCAGGCTGGCCTCAAACTCACTGAGATCCACCTGTTTCTGCCTCCCAAATTCTGGGATTAAGGGCATGCGCCACCACCACTACCGACCAGCTGACTTTTTATTAATAATTTCAACTAATATACTGTTATTCTGATGGGATGAATATGAAGCTAGGCATGGTGACTACACCTGTAATCCCAGCCTAGGGAGGTAGAAGGATCAGGAATCCAAGGTTGTCCTCTGCTGCATGGCAGGTTCCAGACTAGCCTGGACTCCGCGAGACCTTGTCTGAAAATTTTAAAAGTGTTCTGGAATGATGGTTCAGTGAGTAAAAGCTCTGGTAGAACAATCATGAGGTCCAGATCCCAGCACCCATAAAGCAAGCTGGATATCCCAAAGCACCTGTAACTCCAGCCCCAAGGAATCCAATGCCCTCTTCTGGCTTCTGGATATGCAAAAATGTATAAATACGCATTTGATGTGTGGGCATGTGCTCTCACCTGCACACACACACACACACACACACACACACACACACACACAGTCTTCTAAGAAAACACAAAAGTTTCTAGATGTCATTATTTTTCAGTATTACATTTTATTGTGTTAAAATACCCGTAAATAAAAATTATCATTTTAATCATTTATCATTCACAGTCAATTATAGATTCATCCATATTTAGGCCATTTACGATGTCAGCAATTGTTGATATATTGTACCTTCCAGTACCTACAGACTGGTCATCTCAGCCTGGTTTTTGTTTGTTTGGTTGGTTGGCTGGTTGGTTGGTTTTTTGAGACAGAGTTTCTCCGTGGCTTTGGGGGCTGTCCTGGAACTCACTCTTGTAGACCAGGCTGGCCTCGAACTCACAGAGATCCGCCTGCCTCTGCCTCCCGAGTGCTGGGATTAAAGGCGTGCGCCACCACCGCCCGGCTTGCCCAGCTTGTTTTCTGACTCTGTTGTTATTTGGTTTTGGAGACCCAGTCTTGAATACCTGAGGCTGACCTTGAACAATCTATGTAGTACCTGAAGGTGACCGTGAACTCCGACACTCCTGCCTGAGTACAGGCATGCTGGGATTGCATACCCGGCTTACCTCAGCCTCTTTTCACCTCTCCTGATACTCTTTGCTCTTCCTGAATGTGATCAAAAATATATGTATTAGAGGGAAAAAAGTCAAAACAAATCCTTCGTTTTCCAACTGTGCTTACCCCCCATAACAGTATCGACAGCAACTTCCTTCCAGGTCCCGAGCGAGTTGCTCTTTTTTTGGGGGGGAAGGTCGTTCATCCTCACTGAACCCCTGTCAGTTAATAGTGGAAAGGAAACTGAGGTTCAGAGAGGCCATGAGAGAACCATAGACACAGACGACTCCACATTTTGTCTGTGGGACCGAGGCTGGGGACGTGGCCTCTCGGCCCTGGTCCCACCACCTCTGGAATGACTCCATTAATATGCTGTGAGGCAGATGGAGAGGGAGGGTCAATGACCAAAGTAGCTGAGAAATGGGAACCAGGGCGGTAACGAGGAGCATTTCTGTTTGCCCTCTCTGCCCTCGCCCAGCCCTCCAGCTGACTCACTTCCCTTCATGCCAGTCAGCTCCTTCCCAAGCACCCTGGTGTCTTTGCTTGGAGGCCCCGGGGAGTCAACGCTTGCTTGCTGACTTCAGGGTCCCATAGGAGTTTGTTGAATGGATGAGTAAAATCTTTGTGGATGTTCCGAAGACGGTGAATTGAGGTCCAGTTCTAAGAGGAGACAGTTGTTTGTCCCAGGATGGGGAGACAGGCTTGGGACATGCACCCTCCCCCCAAGTTAGCACAGCACAGTTCTCCCAAGTTGTGGTGTTTTTTAGGCTATTTCTGTGCCGGACGCGTGTCCAGTAATGTCACCTACAGCGCAATGGCCTTGTCTTCTTCCCACTTCCTTTTGGGGTTCAGGGCCCCCAAGTCAGATAGGGGATGGGAAATGCGGGAGGGCAGGAACATTTCCGAGAGAGGTTGCTGGAATGGCTTGGGAGAGGGCATGGTTGTGTGTTCCCTGGGGACCTGGGGTGGACATCCAGGGTTAAGCCCCCTTGGAGGAAGTAGAGAGCAGTCTAAACCAGAGTCCACAGAAGCTGCTGGACATGTTTCTGCTCCCTAAATATTTAGACAGCGAGATAAATGGGGGATCTCAGGGACAGAGCAGCCCAACCAGGCCCTGGCTATTTTGAGAGAATCCCTCTCAAGAGCCACAGAACATGCGCCCTCCATCCCTCACCATCTTCCCAGGGTCACCAGCCACCATCCCCGTGGAGGAAAACAGCAGCAGACACTCCCAGACTTTCGGGGTCAAATATGTGGCCATCATGGGTTGAGTCCCTGATCTTCTGGCTTCTGGTCCTGCGACACCGTCGCCCACAAGGGCATGCAGGACCAGCTCAGATGTCAGCAGAGGGAGCAAGCAACCATGGCCTCTCTTTTGGATGGCACCGCAGTCAACGGCGCCACCTGCCCGGTGCCCCAGGATGTCAAGGGCACCCAGTTCCCTTCCTTAGCTTGGAGAGCAATGGGAGCCAGTGGGTCTCTTCTCCCCGATGCAGGCCGGGAAAGGGGTGTCTGTAAGTCCCCGTGGACAGAGCCAGCACACAAGCAACACAACCAGAGCTTGAGGCGCTGGAAGACAGCCTTGCGGAAAAGGATGAAGACCCAGGGGTCCAGGATGGGATTGAAGGCATTGAAGCGGAAGGCGAGGAGGTCCCCCATCTCACTGCTGTCCGGGGCAACGGCCTGGGTGAAGCCTCGGATCTGAGGGGCAGGGCAGATGCATCACGGGTTTGTCCTCCCCATCCTGGGACCCCACCTCCCACCTCTTGCCCGCAGGAATGAGGAGCTGCGTGGCGTGTTGGAGGGGAAGGAAGCGAGATAAGATGAAGAAAGAGGTAGACTGAGTTGCTAGCGTGTGCATGCATCCGGAGATCAGAGGACAGAAAAGCCCCTAGGAAACAGCTAACAGCGGGCAGAAGGAAGACGGGGCAAAGGGTACCCAGCTAGCAGACCCACCCATTGCGGCTGAGGCGACCTTCCCCAAGCCCCACAGATGCCTAAGGGCTCCCAAAGCCTCCCGTGGAGCCACCTGTGGGGGTGGGGTTGGCAGTCGCTGCTAACCCCCCAAAGTTTAAACACCCCAAATCCATCCCGACCCAGATCCCGATCGGGCCCAGCCCCGGTGTGGAGGTGTGCCTGGAGGGTGTCACCCCCACCGGGGGAGGGGCAGGGTGGGTCCCTGTGGGAAGCAGTGAGGGACTGACAGGCTGGGTGGGGCAGGCGAGGGTGGGGTCTGGGCTCAGGGAGTGGGACCTTGCGGCTGTGATTGTGTGAGCGAGCCAGGAGGGAGACTCGGTTTGCGAGTGTGATCTCAGAGCAACAAGCACCATCTATCACCCTTTTGTAAAAGAGGGTGACAGGACAGGACCGTGGTGTCATTTCCTGCCCGGCGCTTCTGAAATAATTGTGTAAGGTCAATTTGAAATTTATCTGAAGAGGCATTTGGGAGCCACTCAGGAGGGTTGTTTCGGCAGAAAGCAAACGTTCATGAACTGTGTGGATCCTGTTATCGACACAGTGATGTGTTTGATTGGGAAGCAGGGCTGACGGGACAACTAAGGGCTGGGGGGTGGCTGAGGGCAGTGCGTGTTAGTGGAGCAAAAGAAAATGGAGAGACTTCTTAGGGTAGTCAGGAGCTATTGGATGCTACACAAAGTCACCACCTCACCCCTTTGAGCCTCAGTTTCCACATCTGCCAAATGGGCATGACAGATGAAGAGCAGAGCTGGGTGCTGCCCTCTGCCCCTCCCCCTGCACCTCAGTTCCAAGAGACACTCACCGTGAGCGGCAGGGAGCACACAGCCATGATACCTGTCATGAGAGCCAGCAGAATCAGGTGGTCAACTTCGTCCTCCCGAGCCCGAGAGGTCGGCACCAGGGAGCCATGGTGGCGTCTCTGTTGGCGGTACATGTGGCAGAGGCTGAGGGTGACGGAGCCGTTGCAGAAGAAGATGGACGTCACCAGCAGGGCCACGAGACTGGCGTAGGCCAGGGAGAAGGCGCAGCCGCCAGGCTGGGCGGACCGCATCCGGATGAAGCACCAGCTCCCAGGACAGTACTGCTGATGCTCGCCCAGGCCCATCAGGGGCAGAGAGCAGAAGAGGCAACAGAAGGCGTAGATGGCAGGCAGGGCCAAGCGGGCGCAGCGGGGCGCGTCCAGCTGGGCGTACAGGTAGGGGTGACTGAGTGCCAGGCATCGCTCCACAGCCATGGCGAAGAGGATGAGCGTGGAGGCCAGGCCAAAGAAGGTCATGGCAAAGGCGAAAGTGTCGCACAGCGCCGACCCGCCGTGGGCCAGCCCCAGCAGGGAGCTGTTCCGAGCGTAGGCCACGAACACCGCGGGGCTCAAGAAGCACGTGCCCAGGAGGTCTGTCACGGCCAGCCCGGTGACCAGCACTGCAAAGGCCGATGGGTGTGACTTCCTCCTCGCACCCAGGATGCCCAGCGCCAGCCCGTTGCCCACCACGCCGGCCACGAACATCAGCGTGCTGGTGGCAGGCCCTACCGAGTCTCGCACGTAGGTGAGGTTCCTGCAAGAATCTGCCATGCCCTGCCACTCTCCGACACCCTCAGTGACAGGGCTCCCAGGGGCGGCAGGAGCGGGGGTGGCACCAGGATGTCCACCGCCGCGGGTCACGGTCGGTCGTCACAGCAGCCAGGGTCTGCCGGCTGGTCCACGGTCTCCAGAGCGCTTTTCCCTCTCTCGTTTTCTTGTGTCTGGCACTTCTCTGTCAGTTCTTCCTTCTCCTGGTGTCCCTTTTGCTTGTCCCCTTGTCCCCACTGTCCCCGTCCCTCCCTCTGCAGTTCTCTGCCCACTCCTTTACGCCTCTGCTTCCCGGGACCCTTCGGCACCCCTCTGCCTTCTCTCTCTGTGGCTCCTGTCCCTCAGTCTCCTGTCTGCGGGGCTGTGTAGGTCTCTCTCAGCTTCTCCCTCCCAGGGCCCGCCCTCCCTCCTGCTGCCCCAGCTTTTTTCATTTCCTCTCCGCCCCGCCCTCCTCCCCCTGTGCTGGTCTCCAGAGGTCCCTTGGGCTCCCTGCCTGCTTTCCCTGGCTTGTACCCCATCCCTTGCTTTGAACACCCAACCCTTGCCTCTGCCTTTCCCCCCGTCCCCTCCTCACGCAGTTCCCCAACACAGTCACCTGCTGCTGCCACCCCACGCTCAGCCTCTGCTGTTTTCACACCATCTCTCTCTCTCTCTCTCTCTCTCTCTCTCTCTCTCTCTCTATATATATATATATATATATATATATATATATATATATATATATATTTGTGTTTCTTTCTGTGTGTCTCTGTCTCTGTCTCTAAGTCCCTGTTCGTGTCGGCCAGGTTGAGAGCCCCCCACCATGGAAGTCCGACAGGCCCTAGTGCTGAGCGGTTCTCCAGCTTGACTGTGCACAGCCTGAATTGTCTGTGAATGGCCCGTGAGAGCTATTCTGGGCTTCAGGCCCTGGGGTTAGAGCCCGGCCCTGGGATTGAGAAATGATCAGGAAATTCCTCCATGATGTAGTGTTTTCCAGACTTCACAGAGAGCCCTGGTCCCTGGACGCAATTCACTCCTTCCAGGAGTTGATGAAGGAGGCGGTCTGGCCAGACCTCTTCCCTGGGTCCCTAGCTTAGGATCCCCGAGTCCTGTGTCGGAACACACAGTCCACGCATGCTGTCCAGCTTGCAGGACACCCACCATTTGGTGACCCACCGTTAAAGGCTGACCTCTTGCTTCTCAACATAGCACTTCCAGGCCCCAGGCCAAGGGCTGATGACATTGCCCTCCGACAATAACACTTTGACGACGGAAGGCCATCCCAGGCTCCAGCGATGCTCCCACACACAAGGCTGCCCTCACCCTCCCTGAACATTAACCGATTCCATCTCCCTCAGGCCAGTGTGTCAGCCCAGATGTCAGCCCGTGCCCGGGCAGTCTTCTCACTGACACCGCGATTCCTGTCATCTCACGGCTGAGGAGGCCACAGGGACCTTGGAGACCCACAGTCACCCTTTGTGGCTTTTTTTTTTTTTTGAGACAGAATTTCTCTATGTAGCCTTTATTGTTCTGGAACTGGCTTTGTAGACCAGGCTAACCTCGAACTCTCAGAAATTCTCTCGTCTCAGTCCCCAGCACGGTAGCATTAAAATTCTGTGCCCCACCCACGAAGTGTGACACCCTTGTTTTTCAGGGAGACGGTTTTAGTGAAGAGGTGCGTGATGGTCCCCGGCAAGGGCAGAAGGTAGGTTTAGTCCAGTCTCCTCCACCAGGGTCGTGGCTGAGTGTGGCCGCTGCTGTCTGCCCTCTGTGTTCCCACCCCCATGACCGCACATTCCTATCACCCATGGCCAGATGCCACCCAGCTGGCATCCCTAGTTTCCGACAGGATGGATCCCCAGCCCCAGTCGCTCTGGGGATCCCCAAAGGACCCCCCAGTTCTGCTCTGGGAGGGTGGAGAGCCTGAAGGGGTCAGGCAGGAGGCCATGTGGTCCCTGTCATAGTCTCTGGCTCCCAGGAAGACCAGAGGGAACTCAGGAAGTCATATCATATTAATGAAGGATGGTGCCTGGCAGGCTTGGCGTCCAGTCTTGGCATCAGGGGAGTTTCTAGGAGGAGGTGGGACCTCCATTTCCCAGAGCTCTCTTCTGCTGATTTCCTGTCCCCATCACCATCACTTAGCGTTCGGGAAGTCCCCTGGCCGCTATGCGCAGGGACCTCGGACAAGCCCCTGCACCCTCCTAGGCCATGATTTCCGGTGTTAATGGGAGCCATGCCCCTGTGGGTGCTGCCGCCCTGCCCCTGGGTGGGAAGTGGATCTCGCAGGGCGTGGTGCTATGCACCCCTGCTCCTAGGTATGGGAACCAGGATCAGAAGAGTTCAAGGTCATCTTAGCAACACAGAGCATCCCAGGGCAGCCCGGGCTACACAAGACTCTGTCCCAAAAGGTCAGAGAACAAAAAGAAGCAGGTAGGGGTTGGCAGTGACCACAGGTCTCTCCTGATGAGACCTACGCCATGGCTCTATGGTGGCAGCTGTCTTCGTGTGAGGGGTGGGCCATCTGCACCCTCACAGGTTTCCTCAGAATGGAGCCGTGAGGTGGGGGGGGGCTGCCCTGGGAGGTGACTCAGCAGATTGCTTTCAGCCCACCACGGGCAGGAGGACTCAACCACCCCAGGGGACCCCAAGGCTCTTCAGAAGAGGAAGGACAGGCCAGACACCACAGAGGTTGGGGACTGACTCAGGCAGTTCCCAGAGGTGAGGGCAATGGGGATCAGAGAGAGGAGGATGGGAGCTGGGAGCTTGGTATGCGAGACTGCAAGTTAAGGGGTGTGTGTGTGTGTGTGTGTGTGTGTGTGTGTGAACACTGGTGAGAGAGAGAGAGAGAGGGAGGGAGAGAGAGGAGAGAGAGGGAGGGAGAGAGAGAGACAGAGAGAGAGAGAGGGAGAGAGAGAGGGGGGAGAGAGGAGAGAGAGGGAGAGAGAGAGAGAGACAGAGAGAGGAGAGAGAGAGACAGAGAGAGAGAGGGAGAGAGAGAGAGGGGGAGAGAGGAGAGAGAGAGACAGAGAGAGGAGAGAGAGAGAGGAGAGAGAGAGAGAGGGAGAGAGAGGGAGAGGGAGAGAGAGAGAGAGAGAGAGAGGAGAGAGAGGGAGAGAGAGAGAGAGAGAGAGGAGAGAGAGGGAGAGAGAGGGAGAGAGGAGAGAGAGGGAGAGGGAGAGAGAGAGAGAGAGAGGGAGAGAGAGAGAGAGAGAGGGAGAGACAGACAGAGAGAGAGAGACAGAGAGAGAGAGGGAGGGAGGAGAGAGAGAGGAGAGAGAGAGAGGGAGAGACAGAGAGACAGAGACAGAGAGAGACAGAGAGAGACAGAGAGAGAGGAGAGAGAGAGAGAGAGAGAGGAGAGAGAGGGAGAGAGGAGAGAGAGAGAGAGGAGAGAGAGAGAGGACACTGTAAGCGTCTATGGGTGTCTTCTCTAGCTCCTCATTGGCCAGGTCCTTAGCTGCCTACATTGTGTGAGGTGCTGTAGAGCGAGCACAGAAGACTCACAGGTTTGGGTGTGCACAGGTATGATTGCCCCCAAAGATAGGTGTGTTCATTTTATGTGTATGACTATGTGCTCAATGTACATGTATGACTATTGCTCAATGTACATGTATGACTATTTGCTCACATGTACGTGTATGATTATTGCTCACATGTACATGTATGACTATTTGCTCACATGTACATGTATGACTATTGCTCACATGTACATGTATGATTATTGCTCACATGTACATGTATGACTATTTGCTCACATGTATGTGTACGACTATTTGCTCACATGTACGTGTATGATTATTGCTCACATGTACATGTATGATTATTGCTCACATGTACATGTATGACTATTTGCTCACATGTATGTGTACGACTATTTGCTCACATGTACGTGTATGATTATTGCTCACATGTACATGTATGATTATTGCTCACATGTACATGTATGATTATTGCTCACATGTACATGTATGACTATTGCTCACATGTACGTGTATGACTATTTGCTCACATGTATGTGTGCGACTATTTGCTCACATGTACGTGTATGATTATTGCTCACATGTACATGTATGATTATTGCTCACATGTACATGTATGATTATTGCTCACATGTACATGTATGATTATTGCTCACATGTACGTGTATGACTATTTGCTCACATGTACGTGTATGATTATTGCTCACATGTACATGTATGATTATTGCTCACATGTACATGTATGATTATTGCTCACATGTACATGTATGACTATTGCTCACATGTACATGTATGATTATTGCTCACATGTACATGTATGATTATTGCTCACATGTACATGTATGACTATTGCTCACATGTACGTGTATGACTATTTGCTCACATGTACGTGTATGATTATTGCTCACATGTACATGTATGATTATTGCTCACATGTACATGTATGATTATTGCTCACATGTACATGTATGATTATTGCTCACATGTACGTGTATGACTATTTGCTCACATGTACGTGTATGATTATTGCTCACATGTACATGTATGATTATTGCTCACATGTACATGTATGATTATTGCTCACATGTACATGTATGATTATTGCTCACATGTACATGTATGATTATTGCTCACATGTACATGTATGATTATTGCTCACATGTACATGTATGACTATTTGCTCACATGCATGCCTGTGTATCACGTGCTTCCTGATGCCCAATGAGGTCAAAAGCAAATGTCGGCTCCCCCGGAAGTAGAGTGATGACCGTCGTGAGTCATCATTCGGGTGCTGGGAATCACACCCAGGTCCTCTGCAACAGCAAGTGCTCTTATCCAATGAGCTCTCTTCCCGGCTCCATGAATATACTTGTGCCTTGTGTTCCTTCCTGGAACGTGTGAGGATGTGTGCACTGCCAGTTCACAGGCATATCTGCAGACATGCATCGACGTGTCGTAGCTCACAACATCTGTTGCTCTCTGTTGGTGTTGGTTTGTTTGGTTCCTCTGTGTATCTATCCCGCTGTCCTGGAAGCCACTCTGTAGACCAGGCTGGCCTGGAACTCACAGAGACCCGCCTGCCTCTGCCTCGAGAGTGCCGGGACTAAAAGCGTGCGCCACCGCCGCCCGGCCTCCTTGGTCCCTTTCTTTCTGGGGCAGGCCCCGGGAGCATGCTTGTGCGCAACTCAACCTATGCATTGCACATACGCGCACCACCAGCTGCCCATGCCTGCTGTTAGGCCTGTCCTGTTGGGCTCTGCCCTTGCCCTGCTTCACGAAGCCGCTAGACCCTTCCAGGCTGTCCTGCCTGACTCAGCCTGGCTTTGGGCCTCTCTTTTCCCTCACTCCCGGGGCTCCTGAGCCAGCCCAGCACTGCTCTGAGCACATGGGGAAAATGCAGGAACTAATGAGAACGGGCAATGAGAGCCCCAGGATGGG